TGTTGAAAAGGTGGTTGAGTTTCCAGATAGTGCCGGCCCCTCTGGTGCAGTACAAACCAGTGTCAGTCTGGACCATGTTATTTCTGAAAGTATAGTGGATCTAAGCGGGGCTGCAACAGATAACGAACAACAGCGCACTCTCCTCCAACAACTCATCGACAAAAACAAAGACGTGTTCTCACGACACTCAACAGACTATGGTCGTACTAATACAGTGCAACATGAAATACCACTCATTGACTCAAAACCCTTTCGACTGCCGTATCGTAAAATTCCTCCTTCACAGTGGCAGGATGTTAGGAAGCTGTTAACTGAGATGGAGGCAGCCAGAGTCATTCGGCCCAGTAAAAGCCCCTATGCTTCTCCTGTGGTAGTTGTCACTAAAAAGGACGGGTCATTGAGGCTCTGTATTGATTATAGAAAACTAAACTCATGCAGCACAAGAGACACCTTTCCCCTGCCCAGAACAGAGGAGGCTCTGGAGGCATTGGGACAGGCTAAATACTTCTCCACCCTCGACCTCACATCAGGCCACTGGCAGGTAGAAGTGGCGGAACAGGACAAACACAAAACTGCATTCAGCACACCAATGGGACTGTTCGAGGCGAATAGGATGCCCTTTGGCCTTCAAAATGCCCCATCCACATTTCAGAGGCTAATGACATGCTGTTTTGGTGATCTCAACTTTACTCATCTGCTAATCTATTTGGATGATCTAATCATATTTTCAAAGACCTTTGATGAACATTTGGGGAGGCTCCAGCTAGTGTTTGACCGCCTCCGACAGCATGGGTTAAAGCTTAAGCCTTCCAAGTGCCAGCTAGTGAGAAAGGAGGTGCAGTATTTGGGGCACATAGTGTCAGCGGAAAGGGGTTAAAACTGACCCAGAGAAAATCAGCAAAGTTAAAGATTGGCCAAGACCTACTAACAGGAAAGAGGTGCTCCAGTTCCTTGGCTTCGTGGGGTACTATAGGAGGTATGTCCCAAACTTCTCCTCGATTGCTGCACCCTTGTATTGCCTCACATCAGGTGACCCTAGAAAAAAGAAAAGGGGTACAAACAGAAGTGCTGAGCCTGCCCGTCCTTTTCTATGGACTGACCAGTGCGAGAATGCTTTCTCACTGTTGAAAGACAAGCTGATTACTGCGCTGTGCTTGGTTACCCAGACTACAACCTGCCCTTTGTGCTCCAGACAGATGCGTCGGGTGGGGGATTAGGCGCTGTGTTAGCACAGATCCAAGAGGGGCAGGAAAGGGTTATAGCTTATGCAAGCAGAGGTTTAACCCCACCTGAAACACATTACCCGGCGCATAAGCTCGAGTTCCTCACCCTTAAATGGGCAGTAACCGACAAATTCTATGATCATCTGTACGGGCGTCGCTTCTCAGTTCTGACAGACAATAACCCCCTTAAGTATGTCATGTCCTCGGCAAAACTTGACGCCACAGGCCAGCGTTGGGTTTCTCAACTGCACATTTTCAACTTTGATATTCAGTATCGCAGGGGCAGAACTAATGCAAATGCGGATGCACTTTCCCACATGTCAAGCCAAGATGTTGCTGTAGTCCTGCAGTCTTGTCCCCACCAGGTCACCAACAACAGCTGCCCCCAGACACCTAAAAACGCCCCTGATACAAGCTCTGTGCCCCAGACAAGAGATGGCGCAGACAAGCCCTATTTAGAGGTGGGAACAGAATCTCTACCAGCCATGACCACCAATGAAATTCGCATAGCCCAGAAAGAGGATTCTGTGATTGGCCCGGTCCTGTTTTCAAAGAGCCGCAACCGAAAGCCAGGCCACAGTGATAGAGCTGGGATGGGCGAGCATGGGCGCCTTCTCTTAAAAGAGTGGAGGAGGTTGGCGATAAAAAATGGAGTCTTGTTCCGCAAAGTCAAGGACCAACAAAGAGGCATGGTGGAGCAACTTGTACTGCCTGAGACACTGCATACTAAAGTCAAAACCACCCTGCATGATGACTCAGGGCACTTAGGGTTTGAAAGTTTGCAAATGATAAGAGAGAGGTTTTACTGGCCAAAGATGTTCCAGGAGATTAAAGCCTGGTGTGAGCGATGTGAAAGGTGTTGCCTGAGAAAGACCCCCACTGCAGGCCTCAGAGCTCCCCTGGTCAGTATTCACTCTAGCGCCCCCGTGGAACTTGTTTGTGTTGACTTTTTAAGCTTAGAAAAATCCAGGAGTGGCATTGAAAATGTTCTCATTGTTACAGATCATTTCTCTCGCTATGCCCAAGCATACCCCACCAGAAAGCCAGTACAGTGGCTAAGACATTGTGGAAAAACTTCTTCTGTCGTTTTGGTTTCCCGGTCAAGCTCCATGCAGATCAGGGCCGAAATTTTGAAAGTGCCATTGTAAAAGAACTGTGTAAATGTGTTGGCATTACAAAAACTCACACCACACCATACCATCCACAGGGCAACGGCACAACTGAAAGATTTAACCGCACATTAATGAATATGCTTGGTACCCTTGAGCCCCACCAAAAGCCCCGCTGGCACGAACACGTTGACGCAATGACCCATGCCTATAACTGTACACAACACGACTCCACCGGCTATACACCTTACTATCTCATGTTCGGCAGGCACCCCAGGCTTCCTGTTGACCTTGTCTTTGGGCTCTCTGATTCTAGGAAGTCGTGTGAGTACTCTGAGTATGTCCAAACGCTACACACTGCCTTGTCCAAAGCCTATGCCCAGGCCAATCAGTCGTCCCATCATGCCAAACAGCAGCAGAAAAAGCACTATGACAAGAGAGCTAAGGGTCAGGCGTTCAGCCCAGGAGACAGGGTCCTGGTTAAAATTTGTCATGTAGAGGGTCGCCAGAAACTCGGAGACAGGTGGGAATCACACCCATACATTGTGGTCAAAAAGCAGCCTACTCTACCAGTGTATGTGATTAGGAGAGAGGATGGGGGAACTGAGAGAGTGGTCCATCGTAATCTTTTAACACAGTGCATGTTCCTTCCAGTGCAGCAAAGACAAACGGGTGCTCCTGACGGGCATGAATATGCAACAGAGAGTGAAAATGAACAACAGGACAGTGAAAATACGAATGAGTCGGATGTGGAGAATGTGGAGGAACCTGCCGATTGTATCAGCCCTGAAATTGCTGGCCAGGAGCCAGACCAGCTAAGCACAGAAGTGGTAGAAGTGGTGGCTGGGCTGTGGGAGGAAGAGGTGGGGAGGGATTGCTCTGTTTCACCCCAAGGGGCCAATATCCCAAAGAGAAACCCCACAAGAGAGCGACGCCCCCCAAAGAAACTTTCCTATGAGACACAAGTGACTATCCACTGACAATGACCTAAGACTGATAGAGAGAGGCAGGAAGATATGGCAAAGGGAGAAAGCGAAAAGAGCTTCTGGATGTACATAAACACATACAGTTCCTGTTGTTCTGTTTGTTTTGTTTTCTGTAGAGAATAACACTGTTTCTAGTTGGGTGTGTCCGATGGCTGGAACGCCATCAATTAAAGGAGGGGTGGATGTAAGGGAGTGACCACTAGGTGGTGCTCCTGTATTTTGTTTACTTGTCGAGACCGCAGTTACTGTTTTTTTTTTTGTTGGTTTTGGCCCATGTCCAAGTGCGGCCACCGTAGCGGCAGCGCGAAGAGGCTGCGCAGGCGCCTCTCGGCCTCTTCTCTCTGCCCTTACTCCGTAAGGTAGGCACTGTCAATCGCAGTTAATCAGATCTATCAACATCTTTGTTGATATTTGCCATCTTCATGTTAATTGCACCAAATAGGTTAAGGAAAATGTTTTACTCATTATTGGTCCTGTTCTGAATGACCAGCACATTGGTTTGTTAATTTTATGGCACTTGATTTTACGCTAGCAGTTGGGAGCAGTCAGAGTCCGTTGATGCGTTTGCGTAGTGTGTTGTAGCCTATTGTAGGTGACCATTTACTAAAAAATAGTTTTTTTTTTAGTTTTATGATATTTTATTATTATTGTTGTTGTACACTGTGTGTGAACATGAAATTTATAATTGGTAATTGTATTGTTGTAGTAAATGACTAATTAGCTGGTCTTCTCTCTGCCGTTACTCCGTAAGGTCCCATGAGCCAAGCAACTGTAACGAAACACCTGTTATCGCTATTGGAACTCATCAAATAAATACACTGGCTGCCCCTCATTCCACAATCAAAAAGAACCGCTGTGTCTGCTGTGATCCTTCTCCCCGCACCACACCTAGCCACTCTTACATCACCAAACACAACGCAGGGTCCTGAAGCTGGGTGCGCTGAGACAACTGGGACCACATATAGCCTGTCAGTTCGTGAGGGTTACAGTTACACCCCCACATCAATATGACACCACATCAAAAAAAAGTAGGGTGTTTATTTCAGAGTAGTTTCAGTATAGTTAGCTCCTCCCTTCACACAAATACAAGGAATTGTCCATCAGCGTCTGACCAGAACTGAAGAAGCAGCTTTGATGAGCTGGATGACAAAATTAATTTCTCCTTTTGCCATGGATTCTACCTGGACAACTGAGGGATTTTACACATTGTACAATCTCACACTCTTTAATAAGGGCCTGTTCACACAAGAACACTTACGGGTAAAGAAAATAAAATATTTCACTGGAAGTGCCTTTCGTTTAGACGGTGATGGCGTTTTGGGGGCTTAAATACGCAAATATCTTAATCCACCCTTCAGAGTGGAAAACTTGAATATTCTCCGCTGTAGCATTTCTGTCTACACTGCCCAAGACGCAAAACTCTGGTCAGATCTGCTCACGTCGTGTACACGTTTATGTCACATACATCCCAAATTGAATTCCACACACTTTTGCGTCACCGTATGCACACGGATTTCCTCCTGAAAACGTTCATCTAAACGTGGAATAAAAAGTGAAGACGCGACACCACTTTTGTGTCTTCTGTTCAGACCGACATCATATAAACAGCCTAAATCTGTAAAAACTAAAAACAATACAACTGTTCTGAACTGAAGTTTGTTTAACTTTGTTCTTGTGTGAAACAGTTCGGTGGGTTTGGGGGCTGGTGGTTGTGCTGACCGTCTGTGGAGTGATTGTGGCCAGTGTCCTTCTGGTTCTTTCGCTTCTCTGCACCAAACACGCTCCTGGTGAGAAAAGCCCTCTGGCCTGTTCACTCTCATTACAGCTGTGTGTGAAGCCTGCTCTCATGTAAACTATTGTTTTTCTCTGTTTTCGGCAGCAAATTCAAACTACACCATGTAAGAATTTCCTCAAATTATTATTTTTCATATAGATTTAATGTACAGTCGTCCCTCGCTCTATCGCGGTTCACCTTTCGCGGTCTTACTGTTTTGTGGAATTTTTTATGCAATTTTGCATGCTTTTTTTGTTTTTTTTACAGCGTATGAATGTGCATTGTGTTCCTCCCCCTGCGTCCTGATTGGCTGTAAACCACTGTCAATCAATCCGTGCCGTGTCTCCCGTACAGTACAGAATGCATGTTCAGCTTGGCAAATTTACATAAATGTTCGATCTCTAGCAGCGTAATTCTGAAGTGCTGTTATGTTTGCAAGTTTTCTCCCCGACAAAACCATAACATCGACGAAATGTTCTGCACTGACAAAAGCTCCTGCAGTCGCACCCAAAAGACGAGGAAGATGCAAACCATTGCACAAAAAGTTGGACTTCTAGACACGCTGAAGGAAGGTAGAAGTTACGCACTGTGGCAGAGTCCTGCACCGGGCGGGTACGGGCAAATTGTTGCTGAAACGGGCGGGTTTTAACATTCTGGAATTGTACGGGCAGGTATGCAGGCGGGTAGTGATTACACACAGGCGGGCCAGGACTAAACCAGGACTACACCAGAACTAAACCATGACTAAACCAGGTCTAAAACAAGTCTAAACCAGGACTAATCTTGGACTTAAGAGAGACCCCGAACCCGCAGAGCATGGTGTCCGCAAATTGCAATCAGGCAACGGCCACTCTTACCTCCGTGGGTTAGTCCTGGTTTAGTCTTGGTTCAGTCCGTGGCATATGTAGCGCAAAAATTTGATATAATCTCGGGTTAATGGGCAGGTGCTGTGCTGTACTCCTCGGGTGTAGGTCTCCAATAATGGACCCGTGCAGGACTCATACATACATAAAGAAGGAGGAAAATAAAAAAAGGACGACAGCAGCAATACGTTTTAAGAAGGATGTAAAAAGTGTTGTAACTGTCCTGTGTGAGAAAAGTGTATAAAGTGTGTGGTGAGGGCTTTTACAGACTTAAAACAGATATAATAATTGTAAAATATAAAGTTGACTACTTCGCGGATTGTACCTATCGCGGGTTATTCTTAGAACGTGATAAACGAGGGACAACTGTACTTAGTTCCCTGATCATACTTGACTTGGTAAATCCGAAATGATGTCTGTTATTTATACAGAGATGTCACTGTGTTGGAATCAATGGATATGTTACAAAATACTTGTATCTATATAAAACTACAACAGGTTGACAGTAAAAATGCTTTCATCAAATGTCTGTCACTTTTCACAGATCACAGGACAGAAACGTTGAAGCTAACCCCCAGAATCCCTCCAGCAGCAACACGGTAAGTGACTCAAACCCAGTGCATTTCATAGAGTTTTATGAAGTTCTCTGATTGGATTTATATTCTTCAGCCTGTGGATTCAAGTGCATTTTACAGTTTAATCACCTCTGCTCCAGCAATCGAGGGCACATCCAGTGAGTACAAAATGAATAAATAAATACCTTACTAACATATATAATACATACATCATTTTCATGTATAATTTTCTTCTGTAATTATTCTAATACATTTGTCTCGTTCTCTGCTTTTGAAGAGGTCGACAGAAAGCGGCTTAAAAGTGAAGTCCAATATGATGTAAGAACTCATATACTTAAATGTGTTGTTTTAGTGAATTATGCTATAAAACTTACATCTCTACAAACTGTGGCATTATGTTTTGATACTTTTTATATAAAGGGTAATCGATAATATTTCTCCCACTATTTTAGAGCAGCACATATCACGTCTATGCCACCATCCCAGACGCCCCAGCCCCTGCAGCAGAGGTTTACAGCTGTATCACAAAAGTGTGATATATTTTTACAGTTTGAATACCTGTATTATGCCTTACATTTGGGTTTGGGTTCTCTCTTTTTTTTTCTTTTTTTTTGTATTATAACAATATAACAGACTGTATATATAAATGGACATAGTTAACCCAAATGAGTTTCCCACTTCTGGCCTCATCCACTCTTGCTCCAATTCACTTTCTATTGAAAAAAAAAACAAAACAAAAAAAACGACACCTCTCTGTAACTGCTGCTGCCATGTTGTCGTCATGTCGTCATGTTGTTCTTAACGTGTTCTTATTAACCCACTCTGCATAAATCCTGATTTTGCTGTTTGTTTGTCAATCAAGAGATGAACATTAATGACACATCGAGTGGGGGATTGGCTCTTTAGTTGCTATTACTCGTTACCCGCGGTCAGAAATCCAAATATGGAACTCCAAATTCGCCCCCATAACTCTTAGCCTCTATAAGTGTTTTCAGGTCAACAGAGAACCGTGCCGGTTCCGGTTCCTGCACCTAATCTTGAACCAACTCACGTGTTCATGCCAGAAATCAGAGCATTCGGGAACCGAAAAGTTGGTTCCCAACGGGAACTTAGAAAAACTGAGTAAAACTTGTTTTTTCTAAGCCAACTGTGACAACTTAGAAGAATTCAGCACGTTCATCCGGGTCACACGCGATAAAATAAACAAACAGAGCAATTGAAACTATCATGTATTAAATGAAAAGTTTTAAGTCTACACAAACTATGACGTACCATTGGTCTTGCATGTATCCGTCTTCACCTTTTAAGATTACATCTTTGTATTGGGTGTCGCTGTCATCTTCTCCACAGCAGATCAATGTTGTAGCAGAGCTTGACGCACATAAATAATGACTTGTATAAGTGCAAATGCTCACTGGTGTTGATTAGGGTGACCAAGCGTCCATTTTTCCCCGGACAGGTCAGTTTTTTGCATCCTGTCCTGGGCGTCCGGGTTTTTTTTTTTAAAGTGATGGAAATGTCCGTGTTTTCAGTACCGTTCATTGGGGCCATTAAACTGAGCGTCTCTCGTAGCGTCTGTGCATCAGAAGGAGTGAGACACAAACAGTTGGTCGGTCTGCAACATGCTGAAGCGTAAATGCACATTTAACAATGACTTGTACAAGAAATTCTCCATTTTCCATCCCGGTCGGGACAAGTGGGAGACCATGTGCACAGGTTGCGAAGTGAGAGTACAGTGGTCCCTCGTTTATCACGGGGGTTATGTTCTAAAAGAACCCACGATATGTGAAATCCGTGAAGTAGTCAACTTTATATTTTATATTTAATTTATTTTATATTTAATTTTAATTATTATATCTGTTTTAAGGCTGTAAAACCCCTCAGCACACACTTTTCTCACACAGGACAGTTACAACCCTTTTTACTTCCTTCTTAAAACTTTTGTTATTTTCCTCCTTCTTTATGTAAGGAACCGAAGATTAATTTATTCCGTAATGGAGCCCTACAGCACAGAGTCTTACATGGGTCCATTTTTGGAGACTCGCAGTACAGCACCGCACCCGCCCGTTAATCCGAGATTATATCAAACTTTTGCACTGCCTGCGCCATGGACTGAACCAAGACTAAACCAGGACTAACCCTGGACTAACCTAGGACTGATTCCAGGACCGAACAAGGAGGGCTAAACCAGGATTGAACTAGGACTAAAACAGGAGTAAAAAGGACTAAACCAGAACTGAAACAGCACTCACTGTCGGGACGATCTCAGAGGTGACCACAGGATAAAGGACCGATGGAGAGCTCCGCACCTTGCGACGGTAAATGCAGCAATTACCCGATCGCGCTTTGTGGGCAAACTGCTCGAGGTTCTCTCTCTTAAGTCCAAGATTAGTCCTGGTTTAGACCTGGTTTAGTCCTGACTCACCCGTGTGTAATTACTACCCGCCCGTAATATGCAATACGCGTTCATAAAAAACAAAAACAAAAAAAAAACACACGAAATGGCAAGACTGCGAAAGGTGAACAGCGATATATCGAGGGACAACTGTAGCTGGTGTCTGGGTTTTCACAAACGGAAATATGGTCACCCTAGTGTTGATGATGCGATCCATGATTATTATTCATATGGCCTTGTTTTTATTTGGTGGTAAATCCACACCCTCTGTCGATGGGTTCATGTAAATAGTATGAACACGTGTCTTTGGTTCCATGTGGAAAAGGTGCGGGAACCAGCACCGGCACCGTTCTGACCGGCCTGAAAACAGCTTATGAGCTTCACTTGACCAGAGGCCAACACTATGGGTGACGCTCACACTAGTACGTATTTGAGTTGTTTTCATTGTGGATGCAGTGTTCGTCCACACTAATCCGATGGAAAACGGCTCCAGAGACGGAACGATCTGGTGCCACCAGCTCCCACAAATTCATCTTAGTACAGATCTGATCCGGCACTGTGTGGACCCCTGAAAACGTTGATACTCTGACGTAGGAGCTCTAGTTGCGTCCTTATTGGACCACGTCACTGTGACTTGAGCCTTCCTGATTTGCTGGATTTGTGACATCGGTCATGTGACACTATTGCCGTAAACATTTAAACAAACCACAGACAATTGGTTAAGATTTTAAAAAGTTCCCACCTACCATTAAGCAAAAGAATTCTAATGCTGCGAGGTCCGACGGTTTCCATGAAGTGAAACCGGCTGATGAATCAGACTACTCTTTCATGTCCTCTTTCCTTTAATGTGCTTTTTTCCACTAGAGTTTCATGTACTGTACAGATGTGAAAACAGGCTATTTTCTGTTTTGTATATTTTTATGCAACATTTAAGTTAATCTTACATGTTTGATCGTATTTTTTATATTTCCTCGCATACGACTTTTTTTTTTATAAGTATAATGTCTTTGTGTATTGTCAATGATCAAATAAATGCATTTCAATTTGTTTCATTTAGGAGAGTGAAAGTGTTGTCCATGTAATGTTTAATAAAATGTAAACATGTAAATAATAAAGACTTATATCTTCATTCAGATTTAGAAATTGGAATAATGAGCATTTATGTGTGAAAATTACACTGCATTACTGAAAATGTTTTGAGGTTTTATCAGAAATATGTGTGAAGTACTAAACTGGCACCACTGCATAGAGAAAATGGGAAACCTGTTAGACTGCAAAGTGTCGAACTGTAATATTACAGCAGACATAAATAAAAATTAAAAGTGCCAAAAACATATATATTGGATCGCTGGACAAACACCAAACCAACTGAGCTACTGATGCCCACATACTGGTGACTTATTAAAATAAAACTTAATTTAAAGTCAGTATAAATTCAGATTCCATGTTATGTTAGTTGTATTGTGCCTGATGTATTATCCCACTAACATGATACATGAAAAAAAAACTATACTAACTGAACTCATTTATAGATTAACTGTATAAATGTCAACAAGCCTAACAAGTATAATAAACACACAAGCCAAGCTAAAAAGAAAGCTGCACTTCCTCACTGAGAATACAGTGGTTAAGAAGCTATAGAAAAACTGTTTCGGTCTGTGAGAAACTGAACTATAGTGCGGTTTGACACGGCAGTTTGTAATGGCTGGACTTGTCATCTTAATGATTATATCTAAACATTGTTAATTGTACTTTTCCACATGTAACAATGACTCTTCTCTGCCTTCAAATTCATTGAGTGTGAATTTTGAAATTCATATGATCAACTATGAGTGTAGGAGATGATGTTACAAATAGAACACTTCAGTAATCTTTGTTGTATTATGTTACTTTATATTATACCATCCATTTTCTTCCACTTTATCCGTGCTGGGTCATGGGGGCAGTCGTCTGAGCAGGAAGGCCCAGACTTTCCTCTGCACATACAGTTCCTCCAGCTCTTCCAGGGGTCCCAGGTCAGCCCAGAGAGATCAGCGTGTCCTGGGTCTTCCCTAGGGCCTCCAGGAGGCGTCTAAGAGGTGTCCAGGAGGCATCCGGAACAGATGCCCAAGCCACCTCAGCTCCTTCTCTCGACGAGGAGGAGCAGTGGCTCTACTCCGAGCTCCTCTCGTGTGACTAAGCTACTCACCCTGTCTCTAAGGGAGTGCCCAGCCACCCTGCAGAGGAAACTCATTTCAACCACTTGTATTTGTGATCTTTTTGTATTTTCTGTCATTATTCAAAGCTCATGACCATAGGTGAGGGGAGGAATGTAGATTGATTGGTAAATTGAGAGCTTCATCTTTCAGCTCAGCTTCCTCTTCACCACAAAGGTCCAACAGTGACCGCATCACTGCCGACCTCCTGTCAATCCGCTCTAGCGCAGAGTGCAGGTTGGTCTGTTGTTTGTCCACAGCAAGAGGGGCTCAGTGCAGTTCCCTCTGATGCCAGTGCAGCGCACTGAGCTTGAAACTTCGTGTATCTGGTAGTTTTGTTGGTCCTGATCCTTCTCTTTTCAGGACTTTTTAAATAGCATGAGTTCAACATGCTCGCACCCTCTGCTTACTGCTGCAGGTCCCCCTCTGGCTCTAGTGTGCTGCACCCTGCTGGCATCTGTTTCTATGCTAAAACCTTAGCCTTTCTGTGAGCTTAATTTTTTGTTTGTTTGATTTGGTGAGTCCAGAAAGCATGTTTTTAATGTTTATTTTGTGTAGAGTTAGTTTAGGGGTTGACAAAGGGGTAGAGGCAGCGTATATGGTACAGGATTGGCCTGTCCAGCGTTTAGACACGGTCTTTGTTTTACACTGGCTCACCATGGTCTTTTTCCTTTGTTACTTTGTTTTTTTGGCCATGGGTTTTGTTAAGTTTTTTTTTTTTTTGACAAAAAAAACAAGAGAACTTCATAAGAATTATCAGAAATGAAATGAAGTAAAAAGCAATAAAGAAATGTTGATCTCTTTAACTTGTTTGCTGTGTCCTTATTGAATATGTTCAGATCTACCCTTGGGTCATAACACATGTATGCATGTGGGAATGTCTGAAACATGAAACAGAACTGTTGTAAATATGTGTTTAAAGACCATGCTTTTAAATGTAAAGCCCAAAATAAATACACACAACTATCTCCACGTCAAAGTCTGTCACTGTGTCATAGGTGGCAGGCTTTTAAAAATGTATCAAAAACCACATTTCATTTGGTTTCCTGTGAGAGATGAACTCTGTGCTTGAACATCACTGCAGTGTCACACCACCGTTCATGATGGCTGGACATCTTTTACTTGTCGTCTTGATTAGTAAGTTAATTTATTGTTACTTGTTTTTATTTATGCTTCCTTTTGTCTACATTTTGTCTGTTATAACACAGGCCTACATGTACATTCCACTTTGTAAGAATTAGTCTTATATAAAAAGTAAGAAGTAATATTCACTGTGTGTACTTGTTGTTAACACCGACACTTCTAACGGTGAATTCTTTATTCTACAGCTGTGTGCTCTCAGACCAAGGGACAAGGTAAATTCAGCTCAACTCTTTAAATAGATAATATTATCTTTAACCTGAGTGATGTTTATTCTAATGTTTTCATATCATATGCAATAAAATGTATAACAGAACACACAGGAGCACTTTGTCAAAAAGAGAGTTTACATGGACATTACAGTTAGTTATATAATGTGAAATAAACTCTGTCAAATTATTAATTTGCAAAAAAGTATGTTTATACTGTATAAAATGTTTCTATTGGTCAACTAAAAACTCTCATTTAGATATCAGTTTTCTGGCAGATAAACTACATGTACTTCTCATTGGTACAAACTGCAAATATTTCAGTTTATACTTCAACACGTACTTTAAGTGTGTTACAGATTGTGTGATGCATGAACAACAGTGCACTGCTCTGCAAACTTTGTGTGTTTGTGCAATATCACACGTCTAATGAACCTAAAACCACACAGACCAGAGTGGGTCTGAATTTTTTCCACTGAAAGTTAATCACAGAGGTCACATTGACTTGATCTTAAAGTCACAAAACACAAACAACAGTCAGTGTACACCGGCGTCTATATGCAGGAGAGTGAATGACACAAAACAATTTCTTTTTGTATTTCTTTTTTTAATAATATTCTTTAACGTTTTGTCCAGTCACAGACCTGGAGGCTCCTAAACTGAGTGTGGACCCAAAGATCATCACAAAAACAGGATCAGTGCATCTGAACTGTCAGACTCCTGCTCCTGTGACTGACTGTTTCTACAGTTTTGGAAAAACTCCGGCTAAAAAACTGCCCTGTCGTCACAGTGTGAACGGAAGCACACTTTTGTCATTAGTGGGGAGAGACTCTCCTGGTGAAGTGAGCGTGACCTGTTTTTACCTCAGCCTCAGAGAGTCTCCACACAGTGAGAGGAAAGTCATCAGTGTACAAGGTAAAGCCTTATGTCCACAGGAGAAGTTTTTCTTGGGTGAATTGTAAAATTTACAAATGTCCTCCATTTTTAATCCTTTGACAATTTTCCATGTCTGTGAAAATGTCCACTCTATTTCAGCAAACTCATTTATCAACTAACTTTAGTCCTGTGTCAATGCTCATATCTGATTTGGTTTGTTTTCGTCCATGCGCTGAAAATAAGTTACCAGTGAAATAACGGTTGTTTGCGTGTGCAGGACCAGGTTGAGTTTGTAGAATGTGTATCTAGCCAGTATTTTTTGGACTTGATCTAAACTCTTGTAAAAGCAAATAACAAGTGAAACAAATTTGAAATAGAAGCAACACTAGTGACTTGAATTATTTAAAAGGGTTTTGTCAATATTTTAATCTGAAATACACAATTTCATAAAAACTAGTGAAACTGTTTATCCCAAGCAAATGTACACATGAAAAACACATCATGTGGTTTTATACATTAAGCATTTTACATATGTCCCTATGTGTAAAATATGCACATGATTATGTTTACATTCTCCTGGTTTTCAGACCTTGGCCCGCCCGTCTTGTCTGTGCATCCATCAGTGATCACAGAGTTTTCCACTGTGACCCTGTTCTGCCAGCAGGTAAACGTACATGTTAAATTTGCTTCTCAACTGCAAATTATGAAGTGTTTGGGTGTTTTGCAATGTGCTTTACAAATCAAAAGTATTATTTATTTAAACTGTAATATGTGTGTTTTCAGATAAAGTGAACTCACAGGACTCTTACCTCGGTAATCCGGTAAAAGGAGTTAATCTGATTAATTGAGAGCCTTTCCCATCATCCCAGTTTGTCTCGGCTAACTCGACCCACCCTTTGACCCTCTATCTTGTTTGTCTTTAAGCCATAAGTACATTTATCAATAAACTTCTTCTTCACACAGTGTTGTTGTTGGTGTGGTTTTTCCTAGTGAAATAACATTAATGTTCATGTAGCACCCATCTCCTGTATCAAAAGTATTAATGCAGGCATGTCCAAACTATGGCCCATGGGCCAAATGCGACCCTCAGACAAATTTTTCTTGACCCTCTGACTTCCACGTGAATTGGCCCAAATTACCTTGCATAAATGAAAAAAAATACTTTTTATTGCAAGTTTTTTGAAAATCTACCTTGATAAAGCCAATATTTAATACTTAGTGTGTGGTTTTGAGGCTCTTGAATGAATAAAGACTGATGGCTCATTCTAATGTGTTAAACATGCACATATTTCATTTATTCACTGTATTGAGCACCAGTCTACAGCCTTCGATCAGCCCTCTGCTTCATGTGTGTTTAGATATGTGGCCCTTGATGAAAAAAGTTTGGACACCTCTGTATTAATGCTTTGTTAATTCTTTCCCCCCTGGACGCCCACTAGGAACAACACATACATAAATGACTAGGACCACCCATAGAACATAACTGTATAAAAGAAAACAGACTTCCACGAGTGATTATAAATGATTTTCACACTCATGAACTTCATTGAAACACAGACATATTTGGTATCTCTGGAAACTTTAGACTCTGAACTCTTCATTTCTAGTAGTTTGTGTTTACATTGCGCTCTATGAGAAAAAACATGTCTCAGCCCAGGGGATTTTTTCCGCTGAAGTTCTAGAGAGTGACCACTACATCAACTGGAGGCAACTACAGGCAGCAACACCCTCCAGTTATTTTAATAGATCCATGGTCCATGTCCATGCACTTGTTCAAATGGCAGGCTACGTCAGTTCATGCAGAATTTATTGTTCAGGAGCAGCAGATGTGATGGAGTGAGACGACTGACATCCACAGCAGGGTCCAAACAGAGTGGTCTTGGTCCACTGTCGTTAGAAAATCTCTCTTTAGTATATTTATTCAAATAAAATCTTGATTTGCGTATCACATTTCTTTATGCAAAACAAACCATTTTGATTCACAAAATAAATACACTGAGTTCTGACTTAACTAATTTTGTGTCTCTTTTACCGGACTGGTTACATTATCTTCTGCTTCCTTTCACGTGCTTTTATAATGTTTTCAACTGTTTTGTACAGAGAATAACCCAAAATAAACACACACAACTACCACTGAAAATATGTGAGTCATTTTGCATCCTGTGTATTTAGGTGAACTTGTCAGTGCTCAGAAAAGTTCTGCTTTCACATACCTCAACTTGACTCCTCCAGCTCCACGTCACAGTCTGTCACTGTGTCATAGGTGGCAGTCTTTTAAAAATGAATAAAAAAACCACACTTAGTTTGGTTTCCTGTGAGAGATGAACTCTGTACTTGAACACCACTGCAGTGTCACACCACCGTTCACGATGGCTGGACATCTTTTACTTCTCGTCTTGATTAGTAAGTTAAATTATTGTTACATTTGTTTTATTTATACTTCCTTTTGTCTACATTTTGTCTGTTATAACACAGGCCTACATGTACATTCCACTTTGTAACAATTAGTCTTATATAAAATGTAAAAAGTCTTATATAAAAAGTAGGAAGTAATATTCACTGTGTGTACTTGTTGTTAACACCGACACTTCTAACGGTGAATTCTTTATTCTACAGCTGTGTGCTCTGAGACCAAGGGACAAGGTAAATTCAGCTTAACTCCTTTTTAAGATGACTTTAAATAGAATTATATCATCTTTAACTTGAGTGATGTTTATTCTAATGTTTTCATATCATGTGCAATAAAATGTATAACAGAACACACAGGAGCACTTTGTCAAAAAGGGAGTTTACATGGACATTATACTTATATAATGTGAAATAAAATCTGTCATATTACATAATGTCCAAAAAAGTATGTTTATACAAATATGATCAGCTCCATTAAAATGTTTCTATTGGTCAACTAAAAACTCTCATTTAGATATCAGTTTTCTGGCAGATAAACTACATGTACTTCTCATTGGTACAAACTGCAAATATTTCAGTTTATACTTCAACATGTACTTTAAGTGTGTTACAGATTGTGTGATGCATGAACAACAGTGCACTGCTCTGCAAACTTTGTGTGTTCGTGCAATATCACACGTCTAATGAACCTAAAACCACACAGACCAGAGTGGGTCTGAATTTTTTCCACTGAAAGTTAATCACAGACGGTCACATTGACTTGATCTTAAAGTCACAAAACACAAACAACAGTCAGTGTACACCGGCGTCTATATGCAGGAGAGTGAATGACACAAAAACAACTTGTATTTTTATTTTTAATAATATTCTTTAACGTTTTGTCCAGTCACAGACCTGGAGGCTCCTAAACTGAGTGTGGACCCAAAGATCATCACAAAAACAGGATCAGTGCATCTGAACTGTCAGACTCCTGCTCCTGTGACTGACTGTTTCTACAGTTTTGGAAAAACTCCGGCTAAAAAACTGCCCTGTCGTCACAGTGTGAACGGAAGCACACTTTTGTCATTAGTGGGGAGAGACTCTCCTGGTGAAGTGAGCGTGACCTGTTTTTACCTCAGCTCCAGAAAGTCTCCACACAGTGAGAGGAAAGTCATCAGTGTACAAGGTAAAGCCTTATGCCCACAGGAGAAGTTTTTCTTGGGTGAATTGTAAAATTTACAAATGTCCTCCATTTTTAATCCTTTGCCAATTTTCCATGTCTGTGAAAATGTCCACTCTATTTCAGCAAACTCATTTATCAACTAACTTTAGTCCTGTGTCAATGCTCATATCTGATTTGGTTTGTTTTCGTCCATGCGCTGAAAATAAGTTACCAGTGAAATAACGGTTGTTTGCGTGTGCAGGACCAGGTTGAGTTTGTAGAATGTGTATCTAGCCAGTATTTTTTGGACTTGATCTAAACTCTTGTAAAAGCAAATAACAAGTGAAACAAATTTGAAATAGAAGCAACACTAGTGACTTGAATTATTTAAAAGGGTTTTGTCAATATTTTAATCTGAAATACACAATTTCATAAAAACTAGTGAAACATGTCATGTGGTTTTATACATTAAGCATTTTACATATGTCCCTATGTGTAAAATATGCACATGATTATGTTTACATTGTCCTGGTTTTCAGACCTTGGCCCGCCCGTCTTGTCTGTGCATCCATCAGTGATCACAGAGTTTTCCACTGTGACCCTGTTCTGCCAGCCGCCCGTTTACGTCTCGACATCGCGCTGCTCTTTCTACTCTCTGACAGGACTGAAGTGGGAGGGGCCTTCATGTGTCCGGACTCTGAGAGGGTCTGATCTGATGAAGAACCAGCGCCCCCCGACTGAGCAGCAGCTCAAATGTTACTACTTTGAGAATGAAAACACAAGTCCATCTCCACACACAGCGACAAAATCAACAGTGACTGTTAAAGGTATGGTCTTTTATAATTCATGTACAACATGTAAAAACATGAAGCATTCAAAAAGAAAATTCACCCAGATCAAAGAATCACAGAGAATTCACTGAGAGACGATTATTGAAATGTATTCCAGGCAGAGGCCCACAGACCTGTGGTCAACAATCCATCACTCAGATGAGTAGATTAACATATAGTTTGGACAGAACCACATAACTTTTAATAAGACTTAGAACTATATATTTTGGCATGGATCACAATGTAATATGATTGTAAAAGAAATTTTAATTTAATTACATTTCACCGCTGATCCAAGAGGCTGAAGAACTGAAGAAATGTATTCACTCCAAAACTTTTGTCCAGTTGACAAAATCACATTTTTTAGGTTAAGAGAATTTTTTTTTATATGATGTTATTGCAGTTATATTGGTAAAATTACAGTAAAAAGTACTGCCTATGATCGTTCGGGCCAATTCAGGAAGAATCCTGAAGGCCACAGTTTGGACACCTGTGCATTTGATCATTAGATGCTGAAATGGTCAGTTTCCTTCTTCGTCTGCCGCCCCACAGAGGTTTGGTTTAAGGACGTGATTCATCAACATGAGTCAAAACAAGACAGACTCTTTCCCCAAGATACTCACACTCTGAGCCACACAGCAGCGATCTAACACAGCAACATATAATGAACTATTCATGAAACAGACACACACGACTAAATAATCAAATGTCAAAATGTGGAAGTGTGTTTTATTTTGTTTTTGCAGATCTGGCTCCTCCCACTTTGACCATGATGCCCTCTGTGATCACAGAGACAGACACTGTTACTCTCAGCTGTCAGCCTCCATCTTATGTCTCTGCTTCTATTTGTTATTTCTACACCACGAGTGGAAAATCTCTGCACGTCACAGACTGTGTCCAAACTCTGAGAGGATCTGATCTGCTGATGGTCACCCAAAGTCCTCCAACTGAAGTTCAGGTCCACTGTCTTTATGTAGTGCAGCTGGAATCTGCGACTTCAACATCTCCACACAGCAAAGAGACAAATGTCACTGTTCAAAGTGAGTTAGACCTACAGACCTGCCTGGTTTTCATGCACTCGTGTTTGTATTACAGGTACACTGTGTAACTTAGAGAAGGCAGATTGACGGGTGGATCGGTGGAGGGTTTACAGTGATGTGGTCATGTTTTTTGACTTTCGAGGTGAAGAAGGAGCTGGGTCAAAAGGAAAAGCCCTCGATTTAACACTCAATCTACATTCCATCTCTCCCCTATGGTCCGTGGTCCAAACCTGAGTTAGTCCTGGTTTAGATCTTTGTTCCTACTCTCATCTACAGACATGAGCTTTGGATAATGATTGAAAAGACAAGATTGTGGATACAAGTGGCTTGGTGCTCTTGTAGAGATAGGGTGAGGAGCTCAGTCACACGGGAAGAGCTTGGAGTGGAGGCGCTGCTCCTCCACGTGGAGAGAAGCTGCTGAGTTGGTTCGGGCATCTGTTCTGGGTGCCTCCTGGACTAGCCAGGATGGCACCACCTAGTGCCTCCGCTCAATTTCATTTCTCTCCAGCAACTAGGTCAACGATTCCCGAAGAAGTCGAGGATTTAAAGCTGGACCAAAGAGAATGTTTGGTGAATTTTATCAACGGGAAAGACGTTATTGCCCTTCTTCTTACAGAATTTGGGAAAATCTTAATATACCAGTTAGCCCCGTTAGTGGCGCATTACATACGTCTCGAACAAATAGCAGCGATTGGTTAAATGAAAGTACCCGCCTACCATTGAGCGAACGAATCCTAAGGCTGCGAGGTCAGACGGTTTGTATGAAGTGTAACAAAGTAAAACCGGTTGATGAATCCGACTGTCCTGGACCCCCCTTGGCGACGTGTTCCAGGCACATCCCTCCTGGAGAAGACTCAAGACACGCTGGAGGGACTGTTAGTATGCCTCACTAGAAAAGTTACACAGCGTACCTTTAATACAGCACTAGTTTGTGACATTTTATAAAGCCTTCACTGACCCACTAATTTTCTCTGGTATTAAAGTGGCAGTTGGACTAAGACAATAACTGAGCATTGTTTTGTCTCTAAAACTGAATCTTTTGCAGCAACCACCACCACAAAAACAACAACAACAACAACGTCACGTACAACTGCACATTTATTCAGCACTGAACCAACAACAAGCCAAGAGAAAACCACGAGCCAAAATCCAGTACAAAGTGAGACTGCGAAGGCTCCCGGCTCAGGTAAGCACGGACAAAACAAAAAACTGAACAAAATCACAAACTATTTACAATATGCACTGTCTATCTTTTCCAGAAAATTCATCTGCTACAAGTAAGTTTCTGTCTTATAATGTACGGCATGTTGAAAGTGTCTGAAAGAGTCATGTTGATGTTGTGTTAACAGAAAACCTCATTATGTGGCTGACGATTATCTTGACAGCCTGTGGGGCGACTGTGGGCTGTGTCATGCTGGTGGCGGCTTTTTTCTGCACAAAAAAGAGGAAGGGTGAGAAATTGGCATGAAACAACAATGGGCTTAATGTGTGAAATAGTTTTACAAACAAACGTGTCCTTTGGACTTTGGTATTCACAAATTAGTTGTCAACTGAAAATGTTGTTCTCCTGGAAGAACAAATTCCAAAAAACATCTTGACTTTAACACTGACGTTAAAGTTCATATATTACACAAAATTTACTGCTGTGAGATTTTTTTGTGTTGTTTCCTCATCAAAAACAGAACCAGAGTTGCGTTTTGTTTCATTCACACATGTTTGAGTGATCCTTTATTATTGGTCTGTACACCTCCCAAGCTCAAAATGCTTCACCTTTTTCCTTTAGGTCAGTAAATATGGGTAATTCCGGGGCAGAAATGATCTAAATTATTCCAGTGAAAGTGTATGGAGTTTAAAAACACAGTGGAGTGGACATGACATCACAAGGGGCTGTCTGTCTATATTTTGGGGTCGACTCCAGTTCCCTCTCCTCCCCGGTTGCTAGTCTTGTTGATCATGTCTGCTTTGTGTTTTTGTTGTACAGTATGTGCTGATGTCGCAGAGGGGTTTCTTTTTTCTTTATGTACTGTTTCCAGATCTTTAGTGAAAGATAATTATGTAGATAGCAATCTCAAAAGCGCTTTGTGTTGCATTTTTTGTATGAAAAACTTGTTTGATTGATTGACAAGGTGGAACAGTGTGTTTTGTGTTTGAGATAAGCAGGATTTGTGTGGTAAACGTGTGAAGGAAACAAAACACAACTCCAGGTACGAAACAACATTAATACATACATCAGAATAGATCAGGGATGGGCAAACTACGGCCCGGGGGCCATATGCGGCCCTTTAAACCTTTTAATCCGGCCCATTGAGGTGCGGCGGCTTCTGTTGGCCGCAATGCTTTATGGGAAAGTACTGACAGGAGTCATTTTTCAGGCGGTGTATTCGGACCATGAATGAGGTAGAAGTGTTAAAGACATAAGACTGCACTAATTCTGATCAAAGTGTGTTTAAATTAATCAACAGCAATACTCTTGACGTCTTGAAATATATGATATATGGACACATCCCAGATTAGCCTAGCATGGCTAGGTACTTCTGGTAGCTGTGGGCCAATACAGTCTGTGCAGCAGTCCAACTCTTCTCCCATGGGCACACATGCATGGAGTTCAGGCTTGTGTATAATGTGATCGCTCTGACCAATCAGAGCGAGAGGAGTGGAGCAGTAGCTAATGAATATTAAGTGTTTTTTAAGACAACTGAAGGATTTTGAGCGAGAAAAAGTTTATGATCTAAAAATAGGTAAAAATCACCAACAAATCAGATATTTTTGAAAGCTGTAGGTAGGTCCCTGTCAGACGAACACTATCTTAAATGGGTGCATTTTAGAACCTGGGCAGCTTGCCACTGGCTGTTCCATTAACATATCTCACAAGTGTTCATACTTCTCTGACTGATTAACATGTCAGGAGGTACTACTTCATACATAAAACATCATCATACAAAACAGTTAGTGTTTTTGCTCCATGTGTCATATTCCTCCAGATGAAAATAGAGCAGCACTGAGAATTAATTTGAACACACTCTGACTAAAATTAGTGCAGTTTTATGTCTTGAACTCTTCTACCTCATTCATGGTCCGAATACACCGCCTGAAAAATGACTCCTGTCAATACTTTCCCATAAAGCATTGCGGCCAACAGAAGCCGCCGCACCTCAATGTATATATAGTGCGCCGTCTACTGGGAAACGCCGGAAATGCAGGAAAAATAAAACATTAACAAGGTTTATTATTATTATTTATTCAAGTTCGGCTGGCTGGATTAAAAGGTTTAAAGGGCCACATATGGCCCCCGGGCCGTAGTTTGCCCATACCTGGTCTAAGTGCTTGGGACACATGTTTGCCTTTGGTGTGCAGTGGGGAAGACCTCATTTCACTTTTCATGAGTTCTGAAACTTACATGTCTAAAAGTTGCAGCACATAGTGCAGAATACGTCCTACATGAGAGTAAATACGAGTGCAATGGAGCCGGGCTCTGAACACGTCATGTCCCGTCTTCTGTCCGGCCCTTCAGTCAAATTTTAGAACCCTATGTGGCCCCCAAGCCAAAAAGTTTGCCCACCCCTGGAATAGACATAATTTGGGCTCTTTAATGAGTGGTGTGGGAGTTTCTAAGTTTCTTCTTAAAGTGGAACAGATGAACAAGTAAAAATTCACACGAGGCCCATTGTTTTCATTGTTTTGTGGTATTTAAGCAGATCTTAAACGTGCAATATGTAAGGTTTTGGTTGGAGGTCCATCACCTGCTTGTTTCTATGAATATGTCATTGCTCTGTCTAGAATATTCCACAGTATGAGAGGTGGTTTTAACCCTACCAGACCGGCGAATATGTTTTATAGAACCACACACTACTTTCCAACCATAAAAGATAGAAACATACTTTTTTTTCCCTTTGAAAACATATTTCTTACATTATCCTATGTCACACATGCTGCATGATGACGTTGAGAAAACAAGTGTCTAATAGGAACTTAGTTTTTCCCCAAACACATGCACTCCGTCCATTTTGATCGGCCCAAATTTTGCCAAAAAGTGTAGTGAGTCAAGATGATCAACTGCTCTGAGCGTCTGTGTTTGTAACAACTGAAAAAGCCACTTTAAGTGCAGTTATTTATCAAATAAATGGAAAATTACGCATCTTGGTCTGTGTAATTGTGCATCCCTAAGGTTTATTTTACTCAAAATCCAAATCCAAATGTAATAAACACCATGGAAATGCATGAAGTGATGTGGTTCTGTGCCCTGGATCTGACACCAGCTGCTTCCCTGACTGACATCAGGAAAGTCATAGGGCCACTGCACTTTTTTGTTTTATTCTGAGGCAATAAGGATATTTTTAGTTTACTTACAGACTTGATAGTTTGCACTGTTGTAGCTAAGGCCCTAAATGAAGCATTTTTTTTTTTATGTCCAAAAAGTTGTTTATACATGCTTGCTGTGCGTTTTGTATGAAAAAGTTTTATTTCCATTTTATTTTTTCATTTATGGTTTTTATTACAGCCACATGACACAACTACAGCAGCAGACTGTGAAATAACAGGTTGTACTGAAAAAAAAAAAAAAAAAAAGATGTATAACACTTCATTAGGGGGTAAAAGAGGGAGTTTTAATTGCAAAATTAATTTTAAAAAATCCAGATGAGGACAAATGTGCTAAAAATGCCTTTAGGTCTGGAAGGGTTAAAGCTCATTCTGACTGTGAGCGGGGTCGCCTCTCCGCAGATCTGACCTGTAACTTGGTCTGATTTGAAAATGAAAGTATGAAAGTAGAAAAGTTTAATACCACACTGTGAAACATTCCAGACAAAAGCAATAACATTTTCACGGAGAAAAGCGTTTGACAGACCCTCCATGAGAAAAGTCACACAATTACAATCTCTTTTTTAATATTTGTGTTTTTGTTGAAGATAAAGTGAAGTCGCAGGACTCTTACCACTGTGAACAGGTGAGCAGTACAACAATTTACATGACCTTGTGGTTCACACGTTGAACCATGTCTGATCGTGTTTGTTATATTTGTAATGCAGCCGCTCTCTGGTGAAAATAACCTGCGTGGCACTGAACCAGAACACGCTGCTAACTGTGAGCTTCTGTTTATATTTACGTATATAGGTTGTTTCAGTATATGTGATCTATTACCGGACTAAACGACCTTTCATTTGGTTTGCAGCAGCGTCTGTGTCTGTAAATCAACCCAACGTGCAACCTGATGATGAGGCAAGGAACCTTTCTTTCACATTTGTTTTTTTGTTTTTTGTTTTTCCATCATGCAGAAAATACCAGTTGCAGTGTTTTGTTTATATTCCATTGCATGTTCAAGTAATCCTGCAAATTTACTCTCTTCAAGGCTGAAAAAAATAGCAACTTTTACATGTTTTGCAATCATCTGGGCCCTATACATGAGTTTTATTTGTTCTACTTCAGAAAATACTGTTACATCATCCAATTATTGCATCTTTAGGGATACATAAAGTGTTATTAAATTGAACTGAGAGTAGTTATATGTTAAACTAAATCAAGTTGCCGATGAAATTTAAAAACATTTCATATTATTATTTTACTTCTATGTGGTGTTAACTGCTAACACATAACATATTTATATCACCATGTTAGCTTTTATTGTTTTGAAAATGGTATATTTACCATAAACTGTGTATTATATGGAGTCAAAATAGACTCATAACACACACGATAAAATATGCGTAGATATTAACTGTGAGCAAGCAAATTATCTCTGTGCACAAGGAGGAATCTGTGACCTGTGCACAAAACAACCACTGGGTGGGTGGGGGGTAGGTCTCAGTCCCGGTCTGTCTCGGTCCTGGTCTGGTCCGAGTTTCAGTCCCGGTCTCAGTCCTGATCACCCGACAGTCACCCAGACACCTCCGGCCCCGCCTGACACTCGGTCCTGTTTTAGTCCTGCTTTAGACTTGGTTTAGTCCTGTTTTAGTCCTGTTTTAGTTCTGGTTTTGTCCTGGTTTAGTTCCTGGTTTTAGTTCCTGTTTTAATTCTGGTTTAGTTCTGGTTTAGTTCTGGTTTATTCCTGGTTTAGTCCTGGTTCAGTCCGTATGCGGCGCAAAAGTCCGGCATCTCAGTTTAAGTCACGAAAACGACCTTTATCCGTTTTTTCCATTATTTATTTAAACACAAAATCGAAAACTGAAAAAACTAATCATTATCCGTTTTTGTTCCTTTTTGGTTCTGGAGACAAATAATGAAGAAAATAGTTGTTTTTTTTTCATTTTCTTATTCTTAGTTTTATTTTGAAAAACAAATTAACAAATAATACATGGATTCAGAAATCCACCTCGTTCATGAGTGAACAGAAAACAACTTCGAGAGAGCTGAAATGAACTTTGTGTGAGCAGAAATGAGCTCTGTGAGAGCTCGTTGGCTTTTCGAGGGTTCGTCTAACCCCCAGTGGTTGTTTGTGCGCAGGTCACAGATTATCAGATTTTCTCGCTTGTGAAATAATACAATATGCCCACAATATACATGTTTTATGGGGCTATTTTGACACCATCGTATCATGTTTTATAAGTTTTCACCTGTGAGTCTTCCCTCCCTTTGCTCTCCGTTCTAAGTCACTCCCCCTTCACAGCGCATCATACAAAATCAAACTTTTGTATATTTATGGAGAATTGTCGTGCGGATGCGTGGGTGACGTAGGCTTGTGGGCAGAGCACTGGACAGAATCTTACAGCTAATCATCAGGAGAGTTCAAATATAGAGATCACTAAATTACTGAAACATGCATGGATGATGTTTAAGACCTCTTCAGGTGTGTTTTTAATGAGGGAAAAACAGCTAAAAACACAGTTGCATAATTTTTTTCAATCATGGAGAAGGAAGAAAAGGCCCTGAAATATAATCATCTTTGCTTACGGTTTAAAATCGAGCCAACATACAAATCATAAAGCAAGAAATATTATTGTTAAAGTTCAAAAAGTAGCTCATGATGTCCTGGTCACCTTTAAACTTTTTCTCCATGCACACCATTAAAGCCTGATTTGATTCTTGGATCTTCTTTTTTCATAGGCGGATCCGTATCACCCGTACGCTTCTATTCCCGATGAAAACTACTCCAGTCCAAAGAACAACTTCCAGTACAGTTTTCTGCAGATGCACAACCACTGAAGTCAAACTGTGAGCTCAGCTGATAGAGCGTCTGTCCACTGATCAGAAGGTCGGAGGTGTGCGATTCCGGCTCTCACAGATGAATGCTGTTGTTGTGTCCTTGGGCAAGAAACTCAACTCACTTTGCATCTGCATTCACTGGTGTTTGAATGTGCGTGTGAGTGGTTCCTTAATGTAAAACGCTTTGAGTGCCTTGAAGATGGAAAAGCGCTGGATAAAAATGTGACCATTTACTTTGAATTTTTACAAACTGCGCTGTGATCTTATAGAGACATTATCAGATGACGTCACTTTGTGCTTTACTGCGCATGTCTCCTGCAAAAAGAGCCGCTGTCCTGTTAAAAGGCCCATTTCATGCAAAATAACTCGTTTCACATTGTATCTTCTGCACATATACAAGCACAATTTGGGTTTTAGAACATTCATTACAGAATAGTTATGACATCTTACTGATTTCTTGGAGGGGGGCGGGTGCGAAGCGCTTTCTGCTACGTCAAACGCATCATAGTTGTAGCAGCTTTAGTTCGTTGTCACGTGGGAGACTGGCAGAAATACGTTGCAATTTGTTAAAAAAAAACACCAAATCAATTTTAAAAACCACTTCGGCGACAAATACAAGGCCCACACATCAGTCTTAGAAGGTAGAAAGCTCTGAAAAGTTGATTTTGCATGAGATGGGCTCTTTAAGGCCTGTTTACACAAGAACGCTTACAGGTAAAAACGGCCAAGTATTTTATCGGCCATGCCTTTCATTTAGACGGTGACAGGGTTTTTGGGGCTTAAAAACACAAAAAAACTGAAATCACCGTAGCGTTTCCGTCTACACTGCCCAAGACGCAAAACTCTGGTCAGATCTGCTCACGTCGCGTACACGTTTACGTCAAATACATCACCACCGAGCGTCACCACCGAGCCACCTGGCATGTATACACAATCGAATTCCACATCATATGCACGCAGATTTAATTCCGGCAACACTCGTCGAAACGTGGAATAAAAAGTGAAGACCCGTCACCACTTTTGTATCTTCTGTCCAGACCTTCATCATATAAACGTAGCCTCAGTGTCTTGTAGGATTTCTGCAAATTTCAGTCTCTCCGGGGGGGGGATAGGTGTATGGATCAGGTATGAGTGAATGTCCGGCTACTGAAGTTTGAGACGTTTCTTGTCGTCATTTACACACTCATCTGCATTTAACTTATTTCATCATCAGAGTGATAAACTGTTTTAGTGCACTGACAACATCGGTAGGTAACGTTACAACTTCACATTGATCACACAGACAGTGGCGCTTTCTGAGCACACATCTACTCTGTTGATAAACAAATAATCTGTCTGTACATAGGCTGATACCTTAATAGACTCTGTGCACAACATGTTAAACACTTTGCACATGCCAAAAAAAATAAAATAAATACTAGAGCAGGGGTCCCCAACCTTCGGGCCGTGGACCAGTACCAGGCTGTGGGTCGTTTGGTACCAGTGTCGAAAAAGCGTGAACCTCCCCTCCCATACGCCTGTGCGCCGTGTCTTCTCCTGTACTCTGCGTGAACCACGTCTCTAAACCAGAACCAAAACCAGGACTAAACCAGAACTAAACAAGGTCTAAACTATGTCTTAAACCAGAAGTAAAACAGGATTTAACGACTAAACAATGCCGTGTGGACCGCGCACTGCGTCCCCCACTCAGTCCGTGAAACATTGTCGGACATAAAACCCTTCTGTGGCACAAAAAGTTTGGGGACCACTGTAATAGAGCACACTTCTGTTTTTAGAAAGGTATGTCTTTGTGTGTCAGTGCTCATGCTAACTTTTATCAAAATGCCAAATCTAACATAATAAAAAACTTCCTGATTATTTTTAGGTGTAAGGATGTGTCAGATGAAGAAAAAAAAAGCTAGAGCACTTCACTGGGTCTTAAAAGAGTAAAAAATAGCAGTACAGGTGTTCTACGAGGGTTAAAACAGTGGTCTTTGAACAGAAAATTATCCTTACTGGAAAATGTAAGAATGGGTAAGGTACAAACCCAAGGCACTCCGAGTGAATATATTAAAAGTCTTTTATTACACGAAGGGACCATCTCGCTGGTCGAAACGCGTTGGCGTCTCTTCATGTAAAAAAGGACTTTTAATATATTCAGTCTGAGTTCCTCGGGTTTGTACCTTACCCATTCTTACTTTTTCCAGTGAGGGTAATTTTCTTTTCAATGAGGTGTAAAGATGTATTAGGGTCAAAATATTGGCATTAGCACAGCACAGAAGCATAAAGACGTCCCTTTGTAAACACAGAACTGTCCTCCAGTGAATTTTTGCATGTTTCTGCAAAAATCTCACATGTCAGCCCACCTCTTTCTTAATGTTTATTCCCCAAAACTGAACTGACTCTTTGGGTGTCAGTTTTAATACTCTTGTATTCAGAACTCCTGATTCTGTATTAGAATATAAGTGTATACATTAGATAAAGTGCATAAAAAGAAGAATGAGAATGTCTTTTCTTTGCTGTATTCCACTCGCTTTGCCCTATCACACCTACAATACATATTTAAAGTCATATTGTGTAACATTTCAGGCTGAGTATCTCCATGAAGATAAGCAGATGTGCAGATGTAAACCTTTTAAAATGTCATGTATTTTAGAACATATTTGTAGAGGTGTAAACTACATCATTTCTATCTCATTTCCAATAAAAACAAATCAAAATCAAAATACTTTGTCGTTTGCTTTTGTCATTATTGAAGCTTTTAAGATCATTGTGTTCAAATTGTGTTCTGAGTTGGATTGTGAAGATGTATTTGCAAATCTAAACATTTCATCTCGTGACACGCCCACGACTAATTTAACCACCTCACACACGCTTTGCTGTGAAACGAGAGCACGAACTATTTTGAACTCAGCGTTAGAGGCTTTATTTGAGTCATCATGTGCGCGTGGTCAAACCCACAGAGCTGCAACTAAACTTTTAATAATAATGTAGACCTCTGTAAATTAAAATCACATGGTTTCTGTTTTACGTGAGCTGAGGTGAGGTGAGGTGAGTGTGACACAGAACAGTCTAAAGTCGAGTGCATCAAGGACGGACCTCTTGAATTCATCGTCTTTTTACGTGAGTCTGACTTATTTTGTTCATGATACTCATTTAATTTATGAAAAAGTATAGATATTTTTAAGAAGTAGATCATGATAATAGAGCGCAATTAAGATCCTCAGTGCAGTAGTGTAAATGTGAAGATAAGACAAGATTATATACTGCAAATAACAATATCTAGGTAAGTTAATATGACTTAAATTAAGTCATTAATTTAATTTCATTTTTCATGACTTACTTTATTTGAGTCGATTCAATTTGACAAGTAAAATGATCTACCAATGGAGCAAGTGTGTTTTTCTTTATTCAAGCAACATTACATTTGATTTCTTAATTTAAGCACAAAACGTTGTTGTTTTTCTTAAGTGTAGCAAGATGTATTTTCATGTTTTAAGGACAAAAAGTCTTGTTCCATTGGCAGATCATTTTTAGCCGGTTTCATTTCGTAGAAACCATGTGACCTTGCAGCATTAAGATTCGTTCGCTCGACAGTAGGTGGGTACTTTTTTTCATATGACATATGTAATGCACCGCTGACTTTCCCCTTAAACTTTTCCCAAATCCCGTAGGAAGAAGAACAATAACGTCTTTCCCCTTGATAAAATTCACCAAACATTCTCTATGTTTCAGCTTTAACCTTCACGCTCTCCTCGGGGTCACATTGACCCAAAGAAGAATTTATTTGAAAATACATTTTTGGGTCTGATTGACCAACCCCAAGAGAGTGTGAAAGAAAAAAAAAAATAATTCTTTGGGTCAGTGTGACTGACCCCGAAGGAGAGTGTGAGGGTTAAATCCTCGATCTTGGAATCGTTGCCAACTCTGAATGTCTGGCTCTTCTCTGATTGGCTGGTGCCCGAACTCACACTTCTGGGGTTCTTGAAAACCGTCTAGTGTATTCTGATTCCTGATCTAGTCACTAGAGAGAAATGAAATTGAGCGGAGGCACGAGGTGGCACTAACCTGGCCTAGATCATTTTACTTGTCAAGTGAAATTTACTCAAATCATGATAAAAGGTTCAGGTAAACTTAACTTGGCTGGATTTCTGTTTTTGCAGTGTATTTCCTTTTTTCTTTCTTACTTTTTGATCTACTGTAGTCAATTTTGAGAGAATTGTATCCTGGGCTCATAATGCAGGACCTTTGCTTGACCAAAACAAAGTACTGTATATGTGACTGTCACTTTTGTTTACTTGTTACGCAAAAGTAGGATTTAATTTGTGTGTTATACTTATGCATTTATGTTTTTCTATCCATGTTTTATACATTAGTGTCTGAATAAAACGTTCATTGCTTCAGTTTGCTCTATTTTCAGTCATATATAAACAGTATTTCAGACAGACGCTGTGAACAGTGGACAATTCTTTCCATTAAAGATAAAAAAAAAAACATGTCAACATTATTGTGTACAGCTGTTCTTCAGGATTACTAATAGCTACCAGGTTAAAATTATTATTACATTTTTTGGACTATAAGTCGTACTTTTTTTTCATGGTTATTAATTATTATTTTTGCGGAAATTATGATGTAATGATCTGAAGCTGTGGAAAAGTCTGTATTATTATATAAAATATGAATCAAAAGCAAGGTATTAAAGACTGACACAGACTTTTCCACAGCCTCACGTCGTTTATCTTCACTAGTTACGCAGAGTTTTGCCGTCAGCTGAGCGGAAATGACAACATACAATTTCCATAAAAATTATTTTAGAAATACACAAAGCAGCACAAATGAAATACAAATGTTTCGTATAACTTTCTGCCTATTTTGAGGCTATTTAACATTTTCAGAGGCTGGATGACGCCATCGGACGAAAATAAAACTGATAATATCATGAAAGCACAAATGAAACTTTTTGCAGCACAAAGGAATGACAACATTTTGGACATTTTAGAGCATTTTGAAGCTTCCTGTTGGGTGGCTGACCCCAATTTGACCCATAAAAGAATCATTAATATCTCCAAATCTAAAGCAGCACAAACAAAACTTTTTGTAGCACAAACAATTGACAGTTCTGCTCAAACATCATCAGTGCACCAGACACCACAGTCACAGTGAAACACAGAAAGACCCTTCACACACAAATCATTTCCTCCTCCATTTGCTCAGTTCATCATTTAGGTACAAACTTGATGTTACAGTTGATGCTGATGCAACATTCACATTGTTTAACAGGAGAACTGGTCAGGAGAGTTTGTGAGTTAAACATGTGAGAATGAAACAAAACACAACAAGTTTTTATTTATATA